ATGAATATAATATACAAGTTTCACTTTTTAAATGGAATTACTGAAATAAATCTACTTTTTCATGATATTCTAATTTTATGACCAGCACCTGTATCCCGTACTGGAAACGCACAGACTCAGATGTTGGGGGAAATAAGCCGCAAACTGGATGTGATTCTGACGAGAATCGCAGTTCAGCAGCATGCCCGTGAGGAGTAGAATTACACCTGGGTGAAGTTTCAGACGGAAAGAGAGGCGATATTCGGAACATTCAGCATTTTTATTTATTTATTTTTTGCCATTACAGAGATGCAGTTACAACTGTAAAGCAGCGAGAAATTCAAGGCTGCTTGTACCAAAACAATTATGTTTATCTTTCGGATCCCTGCAGCTGCTGACCTTGGCGCTTGGCAGTGATAAAAACTTCCTTGGTTGACACGTTGTTTCCCCACTCCTCCACCACCTGTATCATCCGTGCATGGACCAGTCCAAAGACCATGGTGGTGGGATGGAGAACTGAACTCTGATAAGCTGAACTTGGGTTGATAACAACTGGTTTTGGACTCTGGAGGTTTCTGATTGGTTCCAGCACAGAGTATTAAATTGAAACGTCACCGGCTCCGCTGCATCCCACCCCGTACCATGTGTTTTCCCCAGCCCCCACCCCGCTTAGCTGCCTTGCACTGAGCGAGTGGTTTTTTTGAGCATATGATTCTGTGTTTCTGCGTAAGCATAGGATCACAGCATCTTTTTAAACTCATCTTTACTATTGTGTGTATTTCAAGCTGCAAAAGGTAGCATGACCATGTTATGAAAGACCTGAACATCTGTTCTCCCCAATGTTTGTTATGTGTGTGTAATAAGAATGGGTGTTCTTAACTGCAAATTCCTTGTCTGTGTATTCACTGACAATGGCAATGAAACTGATTCTGATTCTAAACTATTACGGGATTCGTCATTTATAAAGGGGTATTTTCACACAAATATGCACAACATGCTATGATATGGTTTTAGACACATTATTAATTATTTTGTCACTGTGTGTGTGTATCCATCAGGTTTTTCAAATTTTTGTTATGTTTAGATTCTGCGAGGTGTAACAATTAATGGGAAAATATTTATTTTTAAATACTAGCTTTATCACCAAATTCATAATTCAGATGGTGCCATCTCAAAAGATTCTTTTCTGCCTCAGAAAACAAAATAATATATCAAGTTTACCTTTTTCAATTGAAAGTTCATTGAGCAGGTTAGGTGAGGGTGTTGCAGCACAAGCTGCCTGTAGCTGTGAAATATGATTTGATATATCTGAGTTTTGCTGGTCAGCTTGTCTTTCCTTATGGGCCATATAGGAAATAACGTGGCCTCTTATAAAGGCTTTAAGAGCTTCCCAAAAAGTACCATAGTATACATCAGGTGTCACATTTGTTTCAATAAAAAAAATCAATATGATGAGCTATAGACTGGGTTACATCATCCTGTGACAGAGAAGCAATACTGAGTCTCCAGGTAGGGGGTCTAGGGGCATGAAAGGCTAACCTGAAAGCTGCCGTAAGAGGTGAGTGATCTGATATGATGATTGTATTGTATACACAGGCTTCCACCTATTGAAGTAACCGAAGTAACCTACAATCAACCAAAATATAAATCAATCCGGAAAAATGATTTGTGAACTGAGTAAAAAAATTGAGTAGGCTCGACCTGTTGAGTTGAGGCAACACCACAAATCGGACATGCCATTGTCACAAGTAAATGTATTAATTACCTGTACAGATCTAGATAATTTTACAGTAGAAGTCAAGGAATGATCCATTTCAGAATTTAAAACAGTAGAAAAAAAAAGAACTTGTAGCCAAGATTCTGATGTTTCTGTGGACATTCAACATCCACCCATTATCTTAACCGGCTACTTCCTTTCAGGGTCACGGTGATCACTAGTGCCCGTATCCAGCAGTCAGTGCAAGGGCCGGGGTACACCCTGGACAGGTTGCAAGTCCATCACAGGGCAATATTGCACACGTCTATGTTTAAATGACAGACTTTGAGTTACCAGAAATTGTAAAAATAAGATTCAATTCTGCCCTTGGTACTAGGGATGTTGGCTTAAGTTAGCATTAGCTTATACCAATTTCTTTTGTTTAGGATTTGCAAAAGGTAATATTTTAGAGTATTAGAGGTTAGCAAAGCTAATGTTTTGGCTTGCTGTGCCCACCACTGAAAGTAGAAAATGTAAGTTCAATTCCGTCCCAGGTATCAAAGCATGTGGGGCTTAATTAAGAGAAGATGAGGATTTTAGTTTTAGTGTTCTTCACTTTGAAGTTTGTCAGATTTTAATCCACATTTAGGATGTGTTTAAACACCAATAAAAGCCTCATTTGTTTTTACGGTAAGTTACGGTAAGTACTGTAATTTGGTGCATCAGTTGTCATTATAGAATAATCTCTAAATTTCTTTCAACTCTCTAGAGTGTGTGCCCTTACAACTAAAGATAATGTGTTTGGGGGGGGGGGGGGTTAAAAACCACTGAATAATACATCTTAAGTGAATTATTGGTTTTAGATTGTCTTCTTGTGCTCAACTTCCTCTGAGTGTAAATATGAAAAGCTTTAAAACAGTAATCTGAAACTACAACCTTCATCTGATTGGACAAATTTTTGTATTCAGTCTTCACAGTCTCTGAACATTGTTGTTGTTTTGTGTTTAGGAAATGTTCACATTGCCAAGGCTTATTTACTATAGGGCTAGTGAAAAAGTAAAAAAATTATAAATGATAATGAATATTTTTTACATTTACATTTGAATTTTACTGACACTTGTTTTTTCTCATTTTAAATTGCAGGCTCAGAAGTTGAAGTCAAACTCAACTATTGATGTCTGTTCAGTAAGTTGTTAGTATTTTCCTTTTTCAATTTTTTTTTTTGTGGTGGTGCTTTGTGGGGCGGGATCTTGGCTGCAGACTGAGCTCCAGGTAGGAGCTAGGCTGGGGACTGAGTTCCACGGAGGTGCTCTATACAAATAAGTGTTGCTTTGTGCCAGCAAGTGTTTTGGCGGCTCCTAACGGCTACCACAGGAGATTCAATGATTTCTCAAACATGCATGATTGAGTCAAAGCAACACTCTGGGTATGTTTTTGATGAGTGAATGACAATATGATATAAAGCTTAAAAAAAGTTAATTTTGTACAATAACCACCCTTTAAAAACACCAAGAGTTGAAGCCCTCTCATAAGAAGGGGTAGCTGGTTCTATGGTTTAGGAGCTACAACTGAAAAGACCCAATCCCCTCTTTAGACCAGTTGGTTTTTGACAGTCTTGTCAAAAACTACTGCACTTAAAGCACAGTAGCAAAGCCTGAAGGTTGAGTTGGCTTTTATAAGTTCCCTCATGTGGTCTGGATTCCTCATTGGCAGCTACTGGTGAGTGGGCGTTGCTGTCTAAGGTGTGCTCCAGCCAATCATCTTTGGACAGGTAAACCTTGAAGGTCATCTCAGGAAATCCACCAGCAGAGGGATGCAGCCAATCAGCAACTGGAGCAGGAAATTTTTCATATCTAGAGGAGCTCTTAAGAGCTTAAAAGAGGCAGGACGAGCCTGGGGCTGTAACAACAGGACCTATAGGGTCAAAAGCTCATATTGGAAGAGAGGTCCTTCATGCTACATAAATTAAAATAAAACCCAATTTAAAGCAGCTTTACCTATTAATAAGACATAAATCCGTATTTTTTATGGCTTATAGAGGTGTTTGTTTTCTGTTTTTATTTCAACATTTTCATGTAAGCAAACTCTGACAACTTTTGATGTATTTGTGATTTCTTTTATTTCTCTCCTTGTTACGTTTTAACTAAGGAAAGAACCCAAATCCGGACGGAGAAAAAGAGTTTGCAATATGTAAAAATGTTTATTTAACAAAAATAAAACAAAAGACTGTTGAGGCAGCAAAAAACTAGATAACAACTAAGGAGAAACATAACAGTACGGTGAATCCAAACAATGAGCCAGTGAGGCTGTGGAGTGAAAGACCAGTATATATACAAACAGAGGGAATGAGGAAATGATGAACACCTGGTGGCAGGACTGATTAAGGATGACTGAGCAGGTGAGGATGATTAACTGATAATTGAATAGACATAGACTGAGGATAACTGGAGGGTGGAAACACAGAGAAACACAAAAAAACAAAATTCACATCCTCACAGTCCTGACCACATTGGACATCCAGGTTTTAAAAGTCATCATGGAATCTATTGGAAACAGATCAAGACACGTGTATTTACAATGGCGAGTTTTAAATTTAATTCCGTACAAAACAAAACTCTGGGGGTCACCGCTCTGCACTCCCTCACTACAAATAGATGACGGAATTAATAAAAAGTTCTGTTACTTTGAAATAATTGGTAGATTAACTATGAATCTATCAGCATAACACAAGATAAAAGAAAAAAAGCATGTAAAGCTCATGAAAAAAGAAAAAACCTGTTAAACATTGGAGACTATTGTTTGTTATAATATTCAAGTAATACCTCAACTGTAATGTATATATCTAAATTATATACACACAAAAATTCAGAAAATTAAATTGATAGATGAAAGATAGATTTTAAATTCCT